GGGGGGAGGAGGCGCCTCGTGATTGGCTCGATCAAGTGTACGTGGCGTCACGTATCGCCATCCTGCTCTCGCTCGTGTGTGTGTACGGCAGCCCCGCGCGTCTATTGCTCGTACTGCTGCTTGCTGTAACTGCATATCTGTGAGTATATAGTGCAACAAACTTCCTTGGATCGTAAATTACGCTGATGTCACAATTACTTCTATCATAAAAATGCGTAAAAACGTAAATATGGAAGGTGATATTGACATGTGGTAAAAATTTAGTGTGACTTATGCCCATCGCATCAGATAACTTTGTCGGTGTACTCGTGTTGATACGTGACGTTAGCTTGACTGTCAGAATAACTTCGAGTTCCGTAATCGGACGACACGACAGACCGCCAGGTTCCATCAACACCACCTGGATGGCTGGCATTCCACAAAGGTGCGATTCGCGCGCAACTTCTTGCCTCGCACAGCCGCGTTGTGGAACGGTCTGTCCTCGGCGGTATTTCCAAACCAATACGACTTAGGAACCTTCAAGAAGCGAGCATACCATTTACTTAAAGGCCGGCAACGCATCTGCAGTTCCTCTGGTGTTGCAGATGTCCAAGTGACGTTGATCACCTAGGTGTTACCGCCGCTCGTTTGCCCCCTTCTCGGGCAAAAAAAAAACTATATTAGCCTTTTTTAGCTGTCTCGTACATCCATGGAATCTTAAAAATATATTGTTGCCATTTTACAACAGTTATTACCTCCGTGTTAATGTAGTACGACCACATCTTGATAGTTGACGTTCAATTGTTTGCACCATCGATTGATTAAATAAAATGATTGAATTTGAAAATATTATGGAAAAACTAAAATATTTTTTTTCTTATATTTCAGGCATCAAATAGGATTCTTCCGCGTCCTCAATGTTCAACAAAACAATGCAAACGCAAACGCACCGAATACCAACACACAAACACCAACAGAGGAAACTGAACCCGACCCCCAACAACAATCTTTACTCGCCTCCACTTGGATCATAATCACATCGTTCTTCGCCTCACTCATGCCAGAGACAATCTGAATTTAATTAATCGATTCCAATCGTTTTCAACAAAATCGATATTTCGGGCAACGATTACATTTCGATGCAAAATTGATGTATCGAATTTTAAATTAAATTTTGTGGTACGTAGAAAAAATCTGCTGCATATTAAATGTATTAGTTTTTGATTTATTACATCTTATATTACAATTGTACTAAAAGTGTCTAAATAACAATTATTCTTATTAAGATTAAAAAAAATCGAAATTTAATTTTTTTTATTTAATTTAATTTAAAAGAAAGATTGCTTTTAAAATTATGGTTTTTGGGCACTTTTAGATGAAATATACATTAATATGTATAATATTGATTAATTGTAAAATAGCTTCGGTGTTGCAAGATTTTACTTTGTAAAATAAAGCTTCTATATATTTCTTGTAAATATAAACTCAATTAAAATTTACGTAAGCACGTTTTTAAACAACACGGCGTCTTTAAAACTATAATCTATGGTTTAAAAAAATAATGTCATCTTCAAGGTAATGTCAAACAATGTTTGCATGTAAAAATTGCAGTACAAACTTATTATTTTAAAATTGTAATATTCATTTAGCGTACTGATTTTAAACCAAATATTTAGTGCATATAAATCGCCGAGATATTTTTTTTATAAATTAGGTTATGTAGAGTTTTAACACGTTCAGTGCGGACTCGCCTGGCGAGTTAAGTTTTATATGAGAAATCGTAATGGTATTGAACGTGTTAAAATGTCAAAATAATTTCTACTAAATTAATGTAATATAGAAACTGGCTACTATATACCACTGGATAGGCTATAAGCCATAGTTATCTGTGCCTATTTCACTTCCACCATATTGGCAGTTATGATGATAGAAATTCTAATAATTGGTTTTCGAGACCAAAATTCCCGTACAATACAATAATCTCTGGTTTTTTTTTCAAAGATAAAGTGCGGGGTAAACATGTTTCACAGGGATTTTGGTCTCAAAAACCTACCAGAATAGAGATATAATTAGCCGCCAATAACTTCAATAAGAGGTTTGAAGTTGGAATGAAGTCATTTCGGGAGATAATCTTAAAAGTGTATAGTGGTTTTGACCTAAAAGTGTTTTTTTTAATGGAGAAACAACTATAAAACATATTGTTCTCTATTTGAAAGAAGTAGTCATATATCTTTGTACATTTGTTTGCTACAGATAATTAACGCCTTAAACCTTGTTTTCTCTTTAATGGTGTAAATTAGTTCGTAATTAATTTCTTGGTTGAATTAGATCTTCAATGCAGTTGGAATGTTATTTTTGGTTTGTCGGTGACGGTTTCTGTACATTTTTAATATTTTTACCGTGGGTTTCTGAGACTAAAATCTCTGTATAAAACATATCGTCATCTTTGACTAAACATAGAAAACAATATAATGTTTTAAAAGATGTTTCGGTCTCAGAAATCCACGGTTAGTTTACCACATTTAGTTCTTCTGACTGGCGAATTCACTTTAATACGTCAATTTAAAATGGCAGCGAATGTAATAAGAATAGTTATTTCCATTTTGTGGTAGCATTTCAAGAAAATTGTTATAATTAAATTTTTTTACTCTACTAAATTGTTCATTTTCATATTAAGTATGGTATAAATTTTTGTATAAGAATGTAATAAAACCAAGTAGAATATTTTGATTCTTGACCATTTTTTAAACTGATATAAAATCGGCTAAACACTCACGTATATACGTCCGGTGGCGGCACCGACTAGTTTGGAGCCCATTGGGGGCCCTTCATCAGGGTGAGTGGGACTAGTATTATTTCGCGGATGCGGCCCCGAGCTCAGTGAGCGCTCAAGGCCTCCAAGGGCCCCTGATGGACTCGAAACTAGTCGGTGCCGCCACTGGACGAATATACTAGAGTGTTTAGCCATTTTTATATCAGTTTATTGTAATGTCTCGCGAAACTTTGAATAATTTATGTTATTTTTATCGTAAGTTTCTTCTGCCGAAACACAAAATTATATTGGTACATTTTTTTTTATCCCTTTGTCGACTCGGAATATTTGCGCACTGCACAGTACCACCTACATCCTGCTATTCTCCGGTTTATCAGGCATTGTCTTGTACACACTGGAGTGATGTTCTGATTATGTTTCGGCTGTTGGAACCCAACGATTATTCATTAAAATATCTATTTTTGGTTTTGAATTCATTGCCATATTAACAATTATTGCCGTTTGAAAATATTAAGATTATAGTTTAGTATAAAAATTGTGTAGTTGATAGTAATTTTTTAATTATTTTAAGATATTTTATTTATTAATTAAACTTATCGTTTATCACATACAAAGATCATCTGCATTTCTTATTACATAAGCTATTTAATGTTGGTATTATATATTAAATATTTACATACTGTGATAAGGTTTTTGGTTTTTTTTTTGTTTGCACTATCGTAAATAAATAAAAATAAAAATTTTATTTCTTTGTATTTGATTGTCCCCTTTTTTAACAGCTGACTTTAAGACTTATTTCCACTGGTGCAACTCATTACTACAATTTCTGTAACCGAGGTACTATTTTTCACTAGTAAATATGTAATTTTATACAATTTCTTCCATAGCATGTTACCTTCATACATTTTTTTTTTATATCAAAAGGTGGCAAACGAGCGAGCGGCCACCCGAAGTCGCTGAAATAGCGAAGTGACCGCTGCCCATACACATATGCAATAACATATGCGTTGCCTACCTTTAATCGATGGAGGAGAGGATGCACAGAAAGAAAATATCTTTCCTTTTCATACATCCTCTCATCCGGAAAGTCCACTTTCACTTCCCATCCTTGCCTTATAAAGAAAAGGAGGGGAAGGGAAAGAGGACTATATTAGGCCTCCGGGACGCACACTCATCAGACTGCACTTGGAATCGCCTCCACTTGAGGCCTGTCTTCTGTATGGTCGTGGTATTACACCGGGCGAGGCGGGCCGATTCGTGCGAAGATGTTAAACATCTCTACCACTGTTAACATTCTTATATATTTCTATAGTTTATTCTATATCCATATTTAAATTGCTATTTATTTCTTTCTCACATTCTTTTGATGGATTTAAATCATCTTTATGTGATTCAGTGTCTTTTATTTCTATATCTTTGTTTATTTCATTACTAATTCTATTTTCATTGGTTTTTGTTGTATCGGAGATTTTGTTACTATTAGTATGAATGTCTACAGAAATAGATTCATTTATAGAATTTAAATCTTCCTCGTCTGAACTGTCTATTGTATTTGTTCTATGTTTTTTAGTAACAATTATCTCGTCTGTATCTTCCTTACTAATAGAAGTAGCACTAATACTAGTAGTATTAGTAATTGTATCTTGATTTTCAGTGATTGTTTTATTATTAAGTCTAGCTAGACGTCTCTCTTCAGCCAGTTGCCGATTTCTTATCATCCTTTCTCTCTGTTCATCACTGATTGATGGTGATGATGTTGCTTTTGGTGCGGTAAATAGTGATCTGAAAATATTTAAATCAAATTGGTAAATTCTTATATATTTTAGTAAATTATTCGTTTTTTAATATTTTATTTTATATATTATATCATAGATTTAAGAGTATTAGACATTAGATTCTTTGTTAGTTTATTGTTAAAAATTGCATTAATTATAATAAATTGTCATTTGTTTTGTAACAAAGAATACTACATTAATTGATATACATATATACTAGCGGACCCGACAGACGTTGTCCTGACTACACGTCTTTAATTCGAATATTATTTAACATTTGACACTGCGATGGTAGCGCCGTCTGTCGGATCCAATGTAAAACATTCCAAAATCAACAACTACTAATAAATTAAAAATTAATTAAAAAAACATTGTCCAGCGGACAAAATTGTGAATCTAAACCATTCCCAGATCCCCTTGAACACACACAAAAAATTTCATCAAAATTGGTCGAGTTGTTTGAGAGAAGTTCAGTGACATACACACTCACAGAAGAATTATATATATAAAGATAAATTCCTATTTTTACTTAAAATAATCTTATTCTTGCATAGTTTCACAACAATTGCTAACCATGGGCAGGCACACATAGCTTTTTCCTTTAGCTTCGTCCGCATAAGATAAAAAAACCAAGAAATATAGCTTCAGTACTCTATGATAATGAAGCATTCTAATAGCAAAAGAATTATTGGAATTGGTTCAGTAGTTGTTAAAATTTTTTACACTTAATAACATTAGTATAGTTATTTTCATAAATACTTTTAATTACAGACCACAATGTATAGAAATTTTCATCTATTCCTACAATTTTCATGAAGTAACGTGCAGGTCAAGAGAATGTTAGTAATATGTATAATAGAAGATGCATGGAAAGGGAAAATATTTTCTTTCTGTGCATCCTCTCCCCCGTCGATTAAAGGTAGGCAACGCATATGCATTGCATATGTTTATGGGCAACGGTCACTTCACTACTTTAGCGATTTCAGGTGGCCGCTCGCTCGTTTGCCACCTTATGATATAAAAAAAATAACAGTGAAAATAGTAAAAAAGACAATCATAAATAACTAAAAATATTACTTTATATATTAGATTGAAATGAAATAAATCTTATTACCTATCAACAATGGAATCTTCCGGAATGTTTTTCTTCACTGATGTTGGTGCGGGTGTATTTCTAGCCAAGTCTATTTGCTGCTGCAACAGCTTGTCAAATTCATCTTCTTCTCTTTCTACCGGTATTTCATCATCACTGGAATCCTTCTGGACAATGGTTTCTTCTGTTATGTATTGATCTGATCTTATCTTCTGTAGGTGAACCTGCAAAAAGATACAGCTGTAATATACTTTTTGGTAGATTTTGACTTCAAATATTAAGATTCCATATTTTTACTAATATATTTGTAAACATATTTTATACCTTATAATTATAAAAAAAAACAAGGTAAGTGGTTTATATCAAATGATGACTTAAAATGATTGAAGTATTTATCTTAAATATTACCATAACTGGTCTCTTTTTTCCTAAAGTTTCAATCTTCTTTAAACAATCTGCAAATTCGAATTTCGGATACAATCGGTAAGCCCAATGTTCTAGTTTCTTTAGCACTAAATCCAAATCTTCTCTTTCATGACCTTTGCCTAGAAAAAAAACTAGTGCTTTAGGCAAATGTCTATAATATATAAATATTTATTCTAGTAATATCAAATACCTTTAAATTTAAAATCTTTAAAATGTTCAGGAATAACCTGTATGCCCCTTGGACCAGTCAGTCGAGCAGGATTTAAAATGAATCTTGGATTTTTCACCGTGCGTTTAGTTTTCGTACTCGATGGATCCACACGTTTTTTCTCTTCCTCTGCAATCAAATGTTATTTTAACCACAACATTCAAAATACTTTGTAAGTTTATTTATAAGATGAATACCGGCTTCGTCTTCTTTTTCACTATTATCATCACTGTCTGAACGTGGAGGTCTATCTTCATAATCATCGCCTTCAATAACACGTTCCAGTTCTCTCGCTTCATCTGCCTCGTCCCTCAAAAATATATCTTCTAGAAGCGACATAATTAAATAAATTCACTATTTCTATACAAGCAGCAAGTTCAAGCTGACTTGTCAAAAAATAGCGGGAATTTTGCAAAGAAAATTCGAAGAATATAATTTGTCTACGGCTATCAAAGACAAGATCTTTTTTTTAATTTAGTGATTTCTTGATTTTCTTTTTGATTGCGATTGTAATAATCGTAAAAATCCAGCACGCTTAATTTTCTAAAGAAGTATTTAAAGGGGTCTAAAGCAAAGCCAAATAAAATTGTTTTGATGTTTATTCTTATTTTTCCATGAGCTTTGCATTAGACTAAGGCTTGAGATCACCCGATTTGTGATTAAATAAACAAGATTTAATATACCTAGTCTTATTTATTTTTTAAGTACCAACCATGAACTACCTAACTACAAATCATAATGAAACAGCGATTGCTCCACTATTTATTTTTTGGATGAATATACAAGTGGATAAAATTAAAAACTGTAAAAGATACAATGCAAAAGCTAGAAAATGACTTCTAAAGAGTAAACATAGGGAAGAACTAATAATAATTGGACTACGAGTCGAATTAAAATTATTTGGCTCCATAAAATTTGCGTAGGACAATACGCGATAAACCGAAATTATGCAATCTAAAAAATTGGCATTAAAACAAAACTGGCCATTCTTTAAATCGTAACGTCGGTCATGGTACACCACTAGGAAGTCACGTGACCAGCTTGCGTTTGAGAGCGCATTCACAGGTATGGAAATAATACATTTTATTAGAATTTGTGCCGTATTTCGGATAGTAAATTAGTTTTAAGGTAAAGAAACAAAGTTAAGATTTTGTTGTGTACGGATGTGTTAATAAATATGGTGTGAATTTGTGTCGTTCTTGTTTATTTCAACAACAAAGACTGTCATTTTCATACCAAGAAAGGTGCTTCAAGAATGGCGTCCCCCACATGTGCCGCTCGCCTATTGAATTTCGTCTCCGTTGGACGTTTAAGAAATTGATGACGTGAGCTCCGTTATGGTGCAGATGTGCACATAAACGGGCTTTTTGGTGTTTTTGTGGAAAATTTTGCATCATCCGTATTCATATTGGTTTAGTCTCGCGCTTCATTCAGTTATGAATCATTGCCCCGAATTTTACATAAAGTAATGTAAAATTTTACATTATACTGTATTTCGATTGCTCGTGACATTAACCGTTAAAGTTTTGGCGCTATTGTTATAAAGTTGAATTTAATTACTGCGAGTTTCGGTAGATTTGTTTTGTTTACTAATTTACCGCTAAAACAACGCCTTTGATTATCCAATACGAATTGTTATCTATCTTATGTTTTCTTCGACTCTATATAAACACCTCTATTTCCATATTTCCTTATTTTCACAGTTACATACGCAGTTATAGTTGACGCCCCTTCAGAATTCTATTTGTAAATATAAATTAATCTATTAATTGTTGAAATATCTTAAGTAGTCAAGGCAACATAAATATTAGACTTATTTAACAACTATATTTTAATAATTTCCTTTGAAATTAATATTAAACCTTGCACTGAACACAACTAACAATATTTTATTATGTTAAAACTTATAAAACAGAAAATTACCAACATAAAAACATCTCTATATAAGAATTTAACAAGATTTCTCATAAAAAAATTAAAATCTTCATATTTCAATGCAATTCAAATCAAAATTTCTGCTAATACTTAAGGAATCTAAATATATATTGCCTTCCTTGATATCAAATACCCTTTATCCCTAAAGAAAGTTAATATGTTAGGTATTATTGTTTGATACATCCAATATATCTCAATTCAATCTTTATGCATATTGTCTTACACAATCCAGCCATACTTTCTACAGTATTCCTCTACCATAATCATAAATATTAAATCACATTACTTTCTTCTTAAACTGTAAATTTAGTATTAAAATTAGCATGGTGTATAATAGGTTTTTCCAACAACTTTGTCATGGAATTAAAAAAAAAAAACTAGATATAAATATAGCTTATGTTACTCAGTGATAGTATAAGTTTCTAATAGTAAAACAATATTTGAAATCAGACCAGTAGTTTTTGTGTTTTGTTCAATACAAATATACAAATCTTACATCTGTTTTGAAGCTATTTATCTCGAGTATTGTATACCCTTTACGTAAACAAATGAGAAGTTATTTTTATCTTATTCTGAGTAATTATCTACATGTTTACGGTATTATGTAGGTACATTCTGAATATTCTAGATGTAAACAATATGTCAGCATACCTAAAGTTCTCACAGATATATGTCATATGAACTGGAATTTGATATGCTATAAAGTGCATTATACATATGTTACTTGAACAAATTCTATACTAGCTGTTGTGCATAACTTTGTCTGTGCCTAGCCTAGCCTATGTGTTCTCCCAGACTATGTTCTACATGGGTGCTAAATTTCATCTAAATCAGTTGAGCCGTCCCATAGATACCTTCAAACAACTATACATCTAAACATTCACATTTATAATAATAGTAAGATAAGTCCATCCAAGTGAAAACTTTAACTGTAATACATGTGTAGAAAATTTCACTGTTTTTGGAAAGAAAAGTTTTGTAGCATAAATTTCCTATGTGAAATCTTTATATGAAACTAGCTGTTGTCTGCGACTCCTTCGGCGCGGGATTAAAAATAGATGTTGGCTGATTCTCAGACCTACTCAATATGCTCACAAAATTTCATGAGAGTCAAGCCATTTAAGGAGTATGGGAATGAAAATTGTGACATGAGAATTTTATATATAAGATGTAAATATTAAGAAAATACATAGCTATCTGCAATATAACAAATAATTTGGGTGTTTATGGGCAGATTGAGCATTGAGAAGTTTTTCTTAAGTTTTACCCATTGGGTTAATCTAAAACATAGAATCAATCTAAAGTCCAATGGGATAAACCGAATGTTTTTAGATTCCATGAGTTCATGAACTGATAAATGTAAATATAAATAATCTGATTATTTTGTAATCAACGAAAATTGTTGTTGATATTAAAATGAATGTCATAATTTTTTATCTACAATAATATTTATTTCAGAACAAATACTAAGTCCATCTATATTTGCTAAAGGTTATTCACTTTGTGAATTATAAAATCTTACTAATATTATAAATGTGAATGTTTAGAGCGTCGGTGGCTCAGTGGTTTCAGCACTTGACTTGTAATCTGCAGGTCCTGGGTTCGAATCCCGCCATGTATTAATATGTTTTTCAATTTACATATGTACATTAATCCGACGTTCTTACGGTGAAGGAAAACATTGTGATGCAACCTGCACATATCTGAGAAGAAAGATATGTGTGAAGTCAACCAACCCGCACTTGGCCAGCATTGTTGACTATGGCCTAGTCACCCCTAATTTAGGGTAGGCTCCGAGCCCCTCAGTGGGGCCGTATAGGGAGCTGATGATGATGATGAATGTTTGGATGGATGGATGTGAAGGTATCTCCAGAACATAGGCATGGATCTTGCTGAAATTTAGCATAGATGTAGAATATAGTCTGGCAGAAATAATAGGCTACTAATTAAGTTTTTTTTTTATTGCGGCCGGACGGAGTCGCGAGTGACAGCTATTAGGCTTTTCTTTTCCCAGCCTTTTTTTTGTGATCCTTGATAAATATTATTAGCTGTTTGCTAATTTAACGCCTTATAATATAAAAAAAAATCCAATAAGATATCAATAGATACCTCACAATTTTAACAAGATAATAAAAAAATATTATAATGGCTATTATGTAATTTGACGTTTATTTGTTTACATAATTTATGTTTTCAATAGGATTAATATATTCTCGTAATCGTAACGAATTGTGTACGGGAAGCTTATTATAAATTCAACCTTAAGTCTTCAATGAAAGTTGTACGGTTACGATCATTAAACCGTTTTACCTTCAATAATTCTTTTTTTTTTAACTTCGAGTTGATATTTATAAATTTATTATATCTATAAAAATAAGCAGTAAATATGTGATTGTTTGTTTGTTATGAAAAGGCTTCGAAATTATTGAATCAATTTGATTTTTTTTCCACTGTTTGTCTACACTTTCCTTGGGTGTCGTAGGCTATGTTCATTACTAGATTTTTTAATTCCGTGACGAAATCGCGGTTGATCGCTAGTATCGTATAGATCGCATATAAAGAGGTAAAGGTGGTTTAGGAATTTTGATATTTCAAGAAAGAACACATATTTGAATGTTACCTTAAGATAGGTCTGTCTTCACAATAATGTTCCATTAATTCTTGCATTTGTTGAATTAAATATTGAAATTTCTCTTTTCCTTAAGAACCTTACATTCTAGAATGTTCTTAATCTTCCATTTATCCATCTAGTTATATTGGTTTGTTTAGTTCCTCTCAAATTTAACACGTTCAATGCTATCACTTTAGTAATTAAAAATCGTAGCATTATCGAATGTGTTAATTACAGATTAGACATATACGATGGTCACTGAGTTTCTAAAACCAAAATCTCTGTATAAAACAACGTCATCCCTCTCATTATCTTTGAGAAAACAGAGATAACAATATGTTTTAAACGGGGATTCTGGTATAAGACATTCACGGTAACATAATTTATTTATGCAGTGTTGCTTGGATGTAGATCGATAAGTGAATACGCAGTTACATTGTTGTTTTGTAGGTAGTTTTAAAATTCATTGGATTCGAAATAGTCCGTTCTCGAACATGTTTTGTAAATCAGATTCGCTCAAGGATATTTTGCAATCTTTCAAAGGAAAATTATTATTGAACGAAACTCTTCGTAGTATTTAAACCTATTTTGGAATAGAAACTCTTAAAATATTTAAAATGTGTTTTGATGGAGACTTATATGTTCTCAGTTACACTTTACGATTCAAATAAGAATGTGCCAACTATAATAACATTATAGCTCATCAATAAAGAATACGATAATATTTTTTTTTCCTTAAAATCTGTACTTTTATTACCGATTTTTGTCAGATCAAGATTATTGTAGTGTAGTTTCTTATTTAAAACATGTATATCTTTCTCTTTCACTGCTCAAGTTACCTATACTTCTTTCTCTTTCTAAACATTCGTAATTTCTACTACATATGTTATTGCTCGGTGCTTAAGCGCCTATGGCTCAGTGGTTAAGCACTTGTAAACTGCAAGTCCTGTGTTCAAATTCCTTCATGTGTTTTTCGATATTCGATTTAAATATGTACATTTTTCTCCCTCTTCTCCGACGTTCTTAATGTGAAAAATCAGGAAAAACATCGTTATGCAACTTCAACATATCTGCGAAGAAATTCAAAGATATGTGTGAAGTCAACCCACACTGGGCCAGTGTGGTTGACTATGGACTAGTCGCCCGTTACTTAGGGTAGATTCCGGGCCACTCAGTGGGAACGTATAGTGAGCTGATGATGATGTATGGCTAAGAGATATGTTGTATTTGTTTCAGCTGCTTGTAAATAGAGGCTGTAAATATAACTATAGTGAATAAAGATGAGTTTGGGAGCGCGCGCCACCAAGGGTGGTGCGAGGGCGGGCAAGGACGGGAAGCACGCACAGGACAAAGGCAAGCCCACAGACAAGCCCCAGCCCAAGGAGAAGGTCAAGTTACAGGTAAATATATTTATAATCATCCTTCACCGATGTCCACTCTTTCATATATCTCTATCAGCTGTCATAGAATTTACCAATCTAATATCACGATATAAGAATTACGAAGCCAACGAAGGTGGATTTGACGAACATGACATAGGAAGGGGAAATATATACTTTCTGTGCATCTCTTCTTCTGTCAATTAAAGTTGGGAAATACTCCTGCAAATGTAAATGTCTGAGGACAACGATCGCTTCGCTATTATGGCGAATTTTCCGTGGATGATTGCCTACTTACCACTTCTTTCTATTACGTGCGAAAAACAATTACCGAATAATGATTGAATTACCGTTGGTATATGAGATGAAAATCTCCCTTGACAAAACAGTGATAAAATTTTGTCGTAGTCTTACTTGATGATTTTCTTTGCAGGCCACCACAGAACAAATTCGCATGGCAAATATGATCGATTGCAAAAGCGAAGATTCAACTGATGTTCGCAGAATGGTGAGAATATAACCATTATATATAGACACCTATGTTTAGTACAATGATGTGAAAGTTTGCCTACGATAGGGATCAATTACTTGTCAATGATACTGGCATATTTATTATAGATTGACAGTATTATTGTGAAATAACTTGAGAAATAAATCTTTTACTTTGCGTTTCGACAGTCGAAATACCTTTTAAAAAGAAGTCAGTTTAATTTTTTTATATAAGACTAGCCCGTCTGCGTTGGATTAAAAAAAAAACTGAATTAGTAGCCTATCTGATGCCGAATTTCAGTGAAATCATGCAGTTTTTCTGGAGATACCTTCTAACAAACATCCATCCATACATGCAAACTTTCGCGTTAATAATATTAGTAAAATACACACTTATTAAATTATCCGAAGAAATAAAATGCAATTATGAATTCCAGTTGAAATGTCTCATGCCAAGGTATGATGTTACGGTGCACGTGTAGTAATGAGATGTGTTCCAGGTGACCGTCCTGATGGAGATGACGTGCCGCACAGAGGAGGAGGTGTGCTCCGCGCTGCACGACTCCGACAACGACATGTTTGTTGCCTGCAACTTGTTGCTGGAGGAGAGCGAGCGGATACAGGTGAACAGCTAGTTTTATGTGTTACCTAACCTATGTCATTATATACTCAAATTCAATAGGAATGAGGAATTATAACAATTTAGCAGTTGCCCGCGACTCTGACCGCGCGGAATTAAAAAAAACATAATTGTGTAAATGTGTATTTCCAGATTAATTTTATTTGTATGTCAAATTTCATCAAGATCACTTCAGCCATTCATCCATCCAACTAAACATCCACTAGTACGTTGTAGTTCCTTCAAAATGGGTCCAGCCGTTCTGGAGATTACCCAGAACGAGACCTTGTGGACAGATAGACAAAAATTATACTAAATATACTTTTTTGGATTTGTGTATGAATGTAGGTCCGTAGTCTCTGTCTACTCCATATGGATTACATGCGTTATGTTGTTGTAGGGCGAGTGGCAGACTAACGAGAAGAAAAAGAAGAAGCCCCCCGCCGCGGCGGGTAACGGCGAGGTGGAGCCTCCTCGAGACGGCCGGGAGCGCGACGCACGCAGCAGATCCGGACCCAGACCACGTAAGTATATCAGAATACTTTCCAAACTGTCATTTAAACTTTGTACAGTTGTAAATTAACCACTTTTTCATCCAAAGTATTATGTTTTTTATATATTTTTGTGGGTGCAAATGTTGTCATTCAGTGCCCTCCTAACATTATGTTCTCCGCAGTAATTTGTGCTTTCTGCCAAGCCCACAAGTTATTTGAAAAACATTATAACACAGACTTTTTGTAAAATAACAAATATTAGTAACTGTAAAGGAGGGTCACACTTATCATCGTGGCGAAGATGTTTAGACAAGGCTGATGCCCATCCTGACGTCCTATAGCTGAAGAGTGAGCGAGACAGAGAGGATTATGTTTTGATTTTAATTTTTATGGAAATTGTGATAAATTTAATGTGAAGTGGAAATTGTAAATTGAATTAAATAATGTCAGATGTAACTTATGCTTATATAGATTAGCACCATCTTTGAAATAGCTTAACTTTTATAATATACAATCTTCCGCTTGGGTCCCTACCGTAAAGTGAAGGAAACTAAATGTACAGGTACATGTTTGCGCCCCTGTCTATCTGTATAATGTATACTAGTTGTTTCCCGCGACTCCGTACGGGCGGAATAAAAAAACATTGCCTATGTCTTCTTCCAGACTTTCCTTGAAAGTTCTGGAGATAACTTTAAACAAATATCCATCCATGTAAAAATTGTCATTTATAATATTATTAATTATGAATGTGTTGTATATGTATGCAGGTCGTGGCGAGGGTGTGGGTGATGGTGGTCGCGGTGCAGGACGTGGCGGGGGCGCGGCGCGCGGGCGGGGCGGAGGTCGCGGGGGTCGCGGTGCGGGGCGGGGCGGCCGGCGAGGTGGTACTCGCGGCCGTCCCTCACGCGACACGCACTGGAACGACAACAACGATGCTGGTAAGTTATTTTATATTTTGCTGTTAGCCCCCTTTTCCACTAGACTATGTCGCCTTATCCTCCACTGTTAGTCGCAGCCACGTCAGAAGAAATTGTACATATGGTTATAACAATATAGAAGAAGGCTTTATTGGGTTGATGTGTAATCTGTTATTTTAACCGTGGGTTTCTGAAATCAAAATTTCCATTTAAAACTGGTTGTTATCTCGGTTTTGACAAAGATAATGATAAGGACGACGATATTTTAACACAGATTTCGGTCATAGAAACCCACGGTAAGTAGATTTTACTGTAATACTATTTAACAATATTTGTTTTTAGGTGGCAACATTGGTGACTCTTTCCCTGCCACAGAGGACTGGGACAATGAGGAGTGGTCCGGCTCACTCTCAGACACCAAGGTATTATTAAATCTTCTGTCCTGCTCTAATGCAATATATGTAAATGAAACGAAAGATGTTAAATGGCCATTTAATTATTTGAGTGTTGAAAAAGCCCTGATAATCCTGATATTTATTATTTTATGTTCATTTATACATACACACAACTCACACAGTCATACATTTGCTGGATGAATACGATTAATGAGTGTATTGTATGGATGTAAAATAAGCGAGTTTTTAATGCAAATAGCGCGTTGTTAATTTTTCTGACTAAATAATATAAAAATGTTCAATGCTAGAACGATTTGATGTAGAATTCCGTGTCAAAGAAAACGAAAGTGATAAGTTATTAACAAAAATCTAAGTGCTGTAAAAGACATCAGTCAGTCAAAAGCAGTTCTGGAGATCATCATCATCAGCTCATTATACGTCCCCACCGAGGGGCTCGGAGCCTATCCTAAGTTAGGCGTGACTAGGCCATAGTCAAAGTTTTGCAGATACCTTCAAACAGCTATCCATCCATCCAAACTTTCACATTTATAATATTAGTAAGATTGATTAGTGTTAGAAAAATTCAGCGTTTTAACTGTAATCCATTTAAAAGTAATGTTCCTTTAAATAGGTTTATTATTATTTCAAATTTCCATTGAATTTGACTAAAAGTTTCATTATGACCTTCTAGACTAATCAGTTGAACCGATTTCGACCATTGAGGTGTTTGTAATTTTAACTCGGAGTGTAGTACATAGGTTTATTGATTAAGGGAAAATTAACAACTAGTGCTTTATTTTATTTATTATAAAATGAAAATAAATAAATTAATTGATAAATAAAATAAATTAATCTGTTGCAGGTGTTCACTCCGAGTGTGAATGCACAGAACTTGGTCCCTGAGCACGACAACGCCTCGCAGAATGCTACGGTACGAATATTTATATTTAATCTTTATTAAATTAACAATAATACATTTATAAAATTAAATAAAGATTAACTTTAGATTTATTTTAAAAGCGATTTTTTGAATGTTTACTTTTTGCGTGTTTTGTTTGAAATGATTAAAGAAACTTAATATTTATAAGCTACTGTTACACAATTTACATTATTTAAGTATTTATTACTTATGTTATCCTGTATTTATTGTGTTATTAACAAAGTTTCATATATCAATATCTATGAAAAATAAGACTATGTATAACAGTGAGCTTTTAACTCTTACAGTCGCACTTAGCGAAGATTTATGTGTAATCTACACTATGGGTCTGCCTTAGGATCAATTAACAAGTCTAACAAGGCATTAATTCAACAGTAGACAGCAATCAAAAGTTACAAGGAACCAAGGAGGAGCTGGCTAGATTCTAATCTAAATAATCGATAGTCCTAAAGACTAGTAGTTCCCTGCGATGTTCCCGCGCTGGAATTAAAAAAAACCTAGTAATATTACCTAGGTAGTATATTAGTGTAGATATTGTATATAGTATTTCTTTGCAGGAGGAGTGGGAGTGCCCTCCGGAGAGCAACGGGCCGACGGACCCCCACATCACCTCCTATACGTACCACAACACTGCGCAGGCGCACCACCACCAGTCCATGCTCGAGGTGAGGCCACACACATAAATGACAGGTTTTTTATATAGCAACACTATACAAGAATTAATGCTTTCTCTTGGATATTTGTGAGTGCCTTCCTTTCACGGCCATATAGTTACATTTAAATGTTTAAAACAAAACTCACGAAATTTTTGTCCCATTCGCAATCGCAATATAAAGTTTTTTTTAAGAAAAGGTGTAATAACAAAATGATTAGTTGTATTGCAAAGTACTGTGTTTGTATTTCATTGTATTCGACACGTGTAAAGAGTTTAATATCTACGAACTTGATATTATTGAGAGGTTTATATGATTGTAGATTAATGTACCGAATGTTAGTTCTAAAAGTATTTGTGTCTTGCAGCAGCAGCAACAACAACAGCAACAGCAGCAGCAGCAACAGGTGCTTAGCGCGCCCAAGCCGGAGCCCGCAGCGGCGCCCGCGCCTGCAGACCCACATCTGGCACATCACCATCAGGTAACAACAATCATCCACCTATTGATCTATTTAAAAAAGCTTTTCGCTCGTACCATGGACGTCGCCAGGAATAACTAAAACCGAATATGAGAATCAGGGAGAAAAAAGTATAAAAAGGTGCCTACAATAGCTATAAACCCTTAGTCAACTCAAAAACTACTTTTTAGTTTTTTTTTTTAACATTGGAATATGTTAACCACTTTCTTAACATTAAGTATTTGTAGTACTATCCCCCCTAGACATAACGTAGACCGGATGGCGATGGCGACGCCCTTGGCTTAGATATCAAGACCCATAACACAGTTAATAATAATAGCATAATAGCGCACTAGTAAACTTCTAACCCAGTGGCGTACACTCAGTGTCTACGATGCTGATTGAGCGAGATAAAGATATAAATATTAGAAAAAGATAGTCACTCTCACGTAATTTTCTCTAAACTAGTTCAGTAGATTAAGGGTTAATGACCCTAGGTCTATCAAGCTACTTTCCTGTTGGTTGTTGATTGTTGTAATTGGTGGAAGAAGCTAAATTGTATGTATGTTTTGTAGCAGCCGATGGGCATGTCTGGCAGTCTGAGCGCAGCGCAGTCGCAGTACCTCTCCCAGCTCACCCAGCAGTCGCAGCGGCATGACAATAGTAAGTTACCCTATTACTGTCCACCACGACTTATTTTTTTATATAATATTATTAGGTGGCATACGAAACATGGCATCCTGAATTCGCCGAAATGGGGATCGCTGCCCATAGACATACGTAGTTGCAGATGCGTTGTCTACCTACAGGTACTCAGTTACTCGGTGGAGGGGACCCACAGAAAGAAAATATTTCCTCCCATGCGTCCCTCATACAAATGTAGTTTCCCTTACCGTCTTGTCCAGGAAAGAGAACTAACAAAGTAAAATATAATCAAACGTGTGTCATCGTTACGTAACCTTGACGACAGTTTTAAGTGTTTTTAATATGTGCAGGTGTATACACCAGCAACTATGGCGTGTACGGCTCCGCGGACATCACCAGCCAGCGCAAGACGCAGCGCGCTAGGGTTCCGCCGCCATCCAAGGTATTGCAACTCATTTCTAATGACATTATACCGACAAAATAGAGTAACCACCGGTTTCTGCAACCAAAATCCCCGTTTAAAACATATTGTTATCTCAAACATGTCAAAAATAAAGACAAGGATGACAACATGTTTTGAACGGGAAGTTTGGTCTCGGAAACTCATGTTAAACATACGTTTTTATTTATTTCATATGAAAAACCTTTGTTTCATTGCCTTTTGCCGCTAATTTGCTTTTGAAGATATGCTATTGTTTCTGGACCCAGCATTTTTATTTTTCTTCTCTTTTCATAATAATAGATACCTTCATCTGCGGTGGAAATGCCGGGCGGCGGTGAATCGAGCGGCGCAATGTTCCTCGACGTTCAATTCGGTGCCCTGGAGCCGGACACGCTGCACGACACCGCGCCCGCGCAGCCCCAGCACCAGGTGCCCTCGCAGCACCAGGTGCCGACCCAGCACCAAGTACAACAGCACCAGAGCCAGCACCAAGTGCAGTCACAACACCAGGTATGGATCGTTTCAATCTTTTTGACCACACAAGACACGCCTTTCTCCTGATGAGTGTGGCCGGCAAAATAGTAACCAAAAAGGGTGGGTAGAAAGTTTCTTGCCACTTTTTCATAAGCTTTGACGGAGGCGTATAATAACAGACAATATCCCTTTTCTGTACATCCCCCTCTCTGTCAAAAGGTGTAGGCAGCACATCTGTAAAGCTAGGTGTTTTGGCGGAATCTGTGACATTGACAATCGATAATTTCGCTTAAAGAGCGAAGTGACAGCTTGCTTATTTGTCGCCTCTTACTAAAACTAAAAATCAAACAGGTGCCGTCCCAGCACCAGGTGCAATCGCCGCATCAAGTGCAATCTCAGCATCAAGTGTCGTCACAGCATCAAGTGCAGTCGCCGCACCAGGTTCAATCTCAGCACCAGGTTCAGTCGCAACACCAAGTGCAGTCGCAACACCAGGTGCAATCAACGCACCAGGTGCAATCACAGCACCAAGTGCAGTCTCAGCACCAAGTACAGGCTCAACACCAGGCTCAGCATGTTCCTCAGACTCATTCCCAACCTCCTAAGCAGGTCAGTATTGAAGAATAATTAGCATATACGAAATGTACGCATGTACGAAACCTACTCTAGAGTGTAGATTTATAGCCGTAGTCAGTCTTTAAATGGTCACAGAAATATACAGGGTGTCCCAAAATTCAACGATAAAACGGAAATGGTATATAGCCAGCTCGATAACTACAGCGGGAAAAATTTTTGCTTAAAAGTTACAATAACTTTTGTAATTTTTCTTATAATTTGATACCCTCTACCATATGAAGATATTTCTGCAATTTTTTTTGGGTTAGCTACCTAAGTACCATAGCTATTGATTGAAGTTAAAAGAGGATTCCGTAAGTGACTCTGAGTATGATGTGAAACATCTAAACAAAGTTTAAGTAACCATTAAAAAGTTCGGCACTAAAGATGTCAGATCTCGGTTCTTACCTATTTAAGAGAGCAAGTTGTCGTTCAAATTGCATTATCCCGTAGAGTGTCATAGGTAGTCTTTTTTTAAAACTATTGCTTGTAATGTTTTTGTTTTGTGTTTGTTTCCAGGTGCCGTCAGTGGCGGAGTCCCAGCCGGTAGCTACTAGTCATGAGAACGCAGTTGATGTTTCCAGCAGTAACTACCACACCAGCAGCACAATGGTATATTTTACTAACATTTATCCTAGGTTTCTGAGACCAATTTCCCTGTTTAAAACATTCCTGACTTTATATTTGACAAAACAACGATAACAATATGTTTTACGCATGGATTTTGGTCAGAAACCAACGATTAGTTGTTTAATTGTTACTTTAGCAGTTCCATAGTGCACAATTCTTTAACTACTCAGGTACGGTCAGCGCACCAGTTTTCGTCAACCAGACCAATGTACCTTGCGACATATCAGCTGTTACTCCTTTAATGTCACCTTTCATGCGATCCATCTTTGCTTAGGCCTAGGTCTGAGTCTCATTCTTTAAGTATATCTATAGCTAACTAAATTAACTTCAACAGCTAAGTGACAGCTTATCAGCAGTAGACACGACGGCGACAAGTCAGCCTGTCACCTCAGAGCCTGCAGTCACCAACGCCACATGTAAGTCACAGTTTATAAAGTTTCTTTCACCACTTGGTACATGATAGTTTGTATAGCACGACGCTAGAGCCGCGCGACTTTTTAGTCGCGTCGCGTGTAAATGTCGTGCGATAAAATGTCGGCCCCACACCCCACACCCACTGCAACCCATGCCGTAGTGGTTGGTTGTGAGCCGGACATAACATGTTCAATTGATTCAAAGGAATAAATAAATGAACAATTGAACCTGGATAAAAGAAATCTGGATAAGTGAGAAACCTCCATAAGCGAGAGTAATTGTTCGGTGACCTCCACAAGCGAGAAACCCAAGTTAGAGAGAAACCTCAATAAACCGGAACAATATCGCGGTCCCTTGGACTCTAACTTATCCAGGTTCCACTGGTCGTCTTTCACAATCATATTTACATTTAGTCACAATAATATTTGTGGTTAACTTCCTTATTTAAAAAAAAAATGATAAAACGATTTTATACATGTCTTTAGACAGTGTAAACTCTTGGTTAAGTTAAACGTATTTACAGCACTAGAGAAGCAGCTGTCAGCGTCGATGAAGCAGATGTCAGTGTCGGGCGTGTCGGGGGCGGGTGCGGGTGCGGGCGGGGAGGCGGCCGCCAGCGCCGCGCCTGCGCCTGCGCTGCATGCCCCCCAGCACTACGCGCACCACAGGCCAAAGGTAAAACGTCCTGAATAATATCTAGATCTAAACCTAGTTACCTTTATCTATATCTTAAATGTTTAAAAAACTTGTTTGAAGTCGAGTGGGGTCTCTAGTATTACGAAATCTGACACTTGTTTATACATACAGTCGAATCCGGATAAACGATTTTTCTCACTTATAGAGGTTTTATCCAGGTTTTACTATATTTTGTTACATTTAATCTGTAGAGTATAGTCCAAAATCTTTAATTATGTTATTTGAATATAAAATGTATTTGTATATTTTTGTGTGTGCAGACAGTGGGCCAACAGAATATGTACCCACACCACGCGGTGTCGCACCATCCACCCGTGTACGGAGCCAATGTGTACGCGCCACAGGTATGTTGTCTCACGTGTCTCCACTGCAGAAACATTGTGAATACTTCTCAGTCTCTCTGAAGTGAAAATAAGATCATCTCTAAGAGTCTTCCTGTGTTCTATAGACAGTGTTCTATATTTATGCCAAATTTCATTAAGATTCATGCAGCTGTTCCGTAGATGCCTTCACAAAGATTCTTGCATCCATCCAAACATCCGCATTTATAATATTACTAAGATTGGTAAAATTTGTTTGTTGCAGGTAAACTCATCGAATGCAGCGTCACTAACGGGCGCGTCTGCGATGACGGCAGCTGCCTACCCCTCCAGTGTCACTCTGACGCAGTACCAGCCCATCATGAACTCATACCAGGTACACCGAAAAAAATTTTTTTTCGTCGAAGATTATAAAATGGCAACCCAAAAAAATATGGCATTAACATCAAAAGCCTTAATATTTGATAAAATTTTATTTATTTAAAAGCTTTATGCTACCAATTAATTTACCAAACACTCAAAGTTTGAAGATCTTTTCTTCATTTAGATGTCTAAAATATTGGCATGTACAAATAATATATGTCTTATAATGTTCGTACAATGTAACCAGTATAACATGTTACGTTTACAGACGTCATCATCAGCGGGCGCTTACGGCGGCAGCGCGTTGTACACGGCATCTCCCTACACCGCGTACCAGCCCTCACCGCAACCTAAACCACAGCCTAAAGAACAACAACAGGTATCTACATATTAATAAAATTGAATTGTTTGTATGTAAAATAAAAAAAAATCATATCTTTAATTTTTCTGTATGTCTGTCCGCAAGACAATTTTTGTTTTGTGTAATTTTAGAAACGGCTGGACCTATTTTGACGGGCCTTTAACTGAATCGTAGCTGATTTATGCAGAAGTTACTTAGGATATTTTTTTTAAATTCATAGTTAGTATTAAAAATATATATAATTTGTAAATTTTGTGTTGCAGTATGACAGTTCAGTGGCGTCAAGCAACAGTCTAACGAGCACGTCAACCACGCAGACGTCGACTGCCAAAGTTACCACCACAACAGGTATGATTTGTAATGCCAAAGTCGAAAATATATCAAAAATTTAAAAATTTTACAATTGGACTGAACTAATAGGAGAAAAACGAAAAGCTTTAATTATTTGGCGTTAGCGCAGAGTTTCGTCTGTCTAATTACGTATACGTCATTCTTGCTATTTAAAAAAAGTATGCCTTTTAAATTGTTTTTTTTTTAAATAATTTATGGAATATCTTCACAAACAACAAACGGAAGTCGATGCTCTTTTGTATATCCTGTGGTATATTTAGTACTGCTGTCACTGTTAACCATGCCGAGTGAGCTACAAAGCATTTTTTCTCTCCATTATGTAATAGTTAATTGAACAATCTGAAATAATTTTTTGCACTTTCATTAACAATCCAGTAGGTAATTTTTTTTATATCAATAGATATTTAATCTATTGTATGTTCCAGTGAGTGGAGGTAACGCGGTGAGCAACGCGAGCGCGGCAGGACTGGGCGCGGCGGCGGGCGCGGGCGCAGGTGCGGGCGCGGGCGCGGCGGTGTACGCGGGCGGCGCACTCTACGGCGCTGCGGGAGCTCCCACTGCATACGCATACGATGACCAGCTGATGCGCGGCGCGTTGCCGCATCATATGGTAAATATACTTCACTTGCAGTGTGTTTCTGAGACCACAATCAAGTGGGTTTGTGGTCAAATAACTGGTTTATTTTATTTGATAAAAAAAAGACAAGAAAAATTTGACAAAGATTACAGTGTCAACAATGTTTGAAGAACTGACCTTAGGATCATGGAGACATTACTAGTTATGTTAAACTATATCAAAGATTGTTATTGTATTGTATCAGGGTGGATACTACGAGACTGGATATGTAGCGCGCGAGGGCACCTTCGGTCTGGGTGGCGGAGAGAGGTTCGGCAGGACGGACGCCGCCTCACCACAACAGGTAATATCTACATTCCATTGCATTCAAAGATACATAACAATTAGTACATAACATATAAGTTTTCTTAAATTATATGGTGGCAAATAAGCAAACGGCTTATTGAATTCGCCGAAATAACGAAGAAACTGCTGCCCGTATACATCCTTAATCACAGATGCGTTGCTTACCTCATATCCATGGAGGAGGGGATGCATAGAAAGGGGATATTTTCCCTTGATGAGTCCCCTTTCTCTTCCCCTATGAGGAAAGGATGGGAAGGGAAAAACGAGACGAAATACAGGAATGCTTCCACTTGACGCCTGTCTTTTATATGTGACATTAGTGACAATACATGATCGTTTTGTTGCAGGTGCCAGCCGCGTTACCGCCCGGCTACGCCTATATCTACCAAGCACCTCCTACCACGTACCAATATGGAGTCTACCCCACGGTAATTAAAAAATAAATATATGAAAAATCATCACTAGCTTTAAATCAATGGTATACGTTATATTTAGGAGCGAAATGCTTTATATAATGTGTTACTGTATTCCAGTACGGCGGCAACTCTAGCGTGGGCGGTGTAGGCGGTGTGGGGGGCGTGGGCGGAGTGGGCGTGTCCGGCGGCGGCAAGGTGTCCGCCTACTCGCAGCAGCAGCAGCCTCCCTACGACGCACAGGACTCATACAAACCTGGTCAGTCATACATACAGAGTAAATAATAAATTGCAATCAATTTGTTATGATGGGTTTCCAATGTAGAAATGTTTTAGTAAAATATTATCATGTCATCTTCTAAAACCATAGACAATATAATTACCTCTCTATACGTACCCACAGAAAGGCTCGGAGCCACTTAGGGTAGGCTCCAAGTCTCTCTGTGTGTGGAGTGACTAGGCCATAGTCAACAACACAGGCCCAGTGTGGGTCGACCTCACACATCTCTTTGAATTTCTTCTCAGATATGTGCAGCATTACAATGTTTTCCTTCACCGTAAGAACATAGGATAAATGTACATATGTAAATGGCAAAACACAATGGTAGATGGCGGGATTCGAACCCAGGATCTGCAGATTACAAGTCAAGCGCTTAACCACTGAGCTACCGGCGCTCTAAGATCTATCGTCATAGGCAATATGTTTTACAATAAATGTTATTTTTTATTTACTATTAGTGCTATTTAGTGGTTTATATTTATGACTATATAATAAAAGTGGTATTGTGTTCAGGCGGAGCGTACTCAGGCAGCTCGGGCAAGGCGGGAGGTGGCGGCGCTGACCTCGGCAACGTTATGTACAACAAGACCCACGTCGCGCTCAACAAGGTCAATGTGAGTCTCACACTCTATCACTAGCTGTACGGAGACAAACTTCAAGCTATATGTAGGTGGCGCTAGCGTCAACTGCCTAAATTATATATTGTCATTCTAGCGATTTGAAATAATTTATGAACTACTAGCAGTCGCCCGCCACTCAGTCCTGGTGTAAAAACATAATTAATAGCCTATGTGTTCTTCCAGATTATGTTTTATATGTAGGTAATTTTATCAAGATCCGTTGATCCGTTCTGGAGATACCTTCAAACAAACACTCGTCCATCCATCAAAACATTCATATTGCTAATTTTTGAGTGAAATTTGACTGAAGTGGTTGCTATGATTACAGTCCACAGAGTACTTTGTATATCTGTGGTATGTTTATTTCTCTTTATCATGCTGACGTCTATACTGAACTAAAGGCAGTTTTTCTCCACATTAATGGCTCGAACTTTTTTTTTCCTATATGTAAGTCATTTTTTTTTAAATATTTATGTTTTATACACAGAGCTACGAGAAGGCGGCATTCCATAGCGGCACACCACCGCCCTTCGGCGCCGGCAGCCATCTGTACATCCCCGCCCCGCCGCACCACCACCCCCACCACCACGCGCCGCAGCAGCACCAGGTACACAGACACGTGCCCACTGGGACACAGGCACAGACACATAGACACAGCAACGATGACAGACACGTGCCTATTGATTCATCATCAACCTGCCCTTATCCCCACCAATACCCATTAGAATTATTTGGCGCGAATGGCGCACTTTCATTACCAAATCAAGTGTCGGAATGATTAGTGAGGAGACATAAACGTCGACATTTTTAGTAAGGATAGTGTTGCGCCAATACACCGGCACACTGTCGGATTTTCTACCTAACACTACGAAGGGTCGGTTTAATATGTACTCCATACTATCAACTGTCATATCTGAATCCACTCCCTTCTTACGCATATCCTCTTTACCACAATCCATACATTCCGATCACATAATACATTGTACACAACGACATTGATTTTTTAGTCACCGTGACTTGAACGCATTTTTACTGACTTATAGACTGACAAGGATCTGACTTGGTGGAGAGACAAACTAAATTATGTCAGCTCACAAGCGCCCCTCTATATATATATAGAATACTTACAAAGTTAAGTTTGTACTTAGTCATGTTATTGTTTAATGTAATTTTATATCTCTAAGTAGGTTTTATATGTTCTGACAAAACCAACTGCGATAGCAGTGCCTCTCATGGACTAAATGTCTTTGTTTGAAAACCCATATTTATTATGATTTAGACTATATTTGCAATTATAGCATGATACAACATAAAATCAAGATGAATATTTTAGAACTACAAGAATATCTGTTCCGGTACGCTTAAGTCTAACTACAGTATCACAGCTCACTAGCGCCCTCATGTCAACGTCAAAATGTAATACCGCGTGGAATGAAAAAAAACTTAATTAGTTCCCGGCATTTATTGGAATTTTTCCCACTTTTTAAACCTTCACGAATATTTTAAGACCAAGGTTTAATCCTTTCAGCCGATGTCCAGTTTTAACGAGACTAACGAACAGCGATTTATTTTTATATATATAGATTATGTCGTAAGTAGGTTTTACATATTTTCTGACATAATAAATCGCGATAGCAGCGCCTCTCACCAAACCAGATATCCTTGTTTGTTTATTATTTATAAGAATTTATATATTTGACAGTTTTAAATATTGTAGTTATATTTATCGCTGCATGAAAGCCCTGAATTTGTTTTGCATGCGTTTTATTTTGTTATATTTTTGATTTATTACATTTCTTAGAGTTTGCTTTCGTTTGTAGATGGATGTTCGGGTGAACAATAGGCGGGTAAGTTTATATATATATTTATCTTTATCACATATTTATATGCACTTATATATTGTATGTTAACCTTATATGTATATTATATATTTATATTACCCGCCTTTTATATATTGCATGGTTAGTGTATTTAAAGTTATGCATTCAATGTTTATAATTTTTTGTTTTATGTCTCGATGTTATCAAAGCATGTTCAAATTTGTTCGTTGTGTCCCTAATTGTTGATTTTAAATAATAAAACGCGGATAATTAGAAATAGGGTCATTACCTTTTACTACACATTGTTAATCCTTTTGAATAATTGTGTTGCTTTAAGGCTTTATCTTATAGGAAAAATATACTAATAGTTTGCTTGACTGTATGTTTTAGTAAGATAAAGGTGTGAAAACTTGTTTGACAAGCCTCCTAGTTATATTAAGTAATGTGTAAACAAGAGTAATCAAGTATTGTTATGTAATTGTGCAGCAGGAGAGCGGCGCCGGGGGCGGACGCAGCGCGGCCTCCAAGCCGGCCTCCAGCAAGCCCAACTACTCGCAGTCCTACTGGGCGCCCAATTAGCCCACCACGGTAACCGTAACTATTGTTTAACTATGGCTTATTTTATACTTGTGTGTTATTTTCAGTATATTGAACTAACTGTTGTTGTTCACAGGCGCACTACCTCCAAGTCGTCAGACACCTGTACATAGAGCAGGACGCGCCCCCCCTCGCGCAGCCCCGCACAACCCC